TTTACTTCATACATTATTGAATACATTAGCTGTACATAAAGAAAAAGTACAATTAATAGAAAATTTGACTTTTTACCTTAATGCCATTAAGCTCATGCTTACCATGTTCTGTTTTTGTTTGTTTTTTGCAAAAAGTGGCTTCAGTTACAAAATAATGGTTGCGGCATATGAGAAAAAAAAAAAAAAAAAACAGTGCAAAGAAAAATAAATCACCCATCCCACCAATTAAAACCACCTTCCTACTTTATTTCACTAAACAGTTTGTAAATTTAGTTCTAAGATATTTCTAAGCCTTATTTATTTCTAAGCCATTTAAAGGCTTACGGTCCATATCTGGCACCTCAAGATGTGTTTAAATACAATGAAATAATACTTTATATTCATATGCATGAATAATTATAATATCTTATAATTATTATAACATATTATAATAATAAGTTGATGGCTTTCATTTTCTCTTTAAACCTCCTCTTATAATACCTCAATAGAGTGCCATTATAACAAATAATTCATTATAACAACTTTGCACAAGGGGTGTGGAATTTTTGACAAAAGTCAAAATTGTAAAATTTCGATTTTGCTTCTGCATTCACACACTGTAAATGTTTGACTCCAATCTTTCATTATGTCTTTTGCCTTGAAAGTTTTCTTGCACAAAGTCCATTAACTTTACTGCTGTTTGGAAAAATGCATATTTCTTGCACACAAGCAGTGATCTGTTGGCTATCTATGACTCTCTATTTTCTTCTGAATGGTGGAAAATCCACATTAAGGTTATTAGCACAACACAAAAGGACTTTAATGAGATAGTAAGTGTCGTCTTTTGTTTAAAAGTAGCATGATCATAAATCCAGGTCCTCTGTTATTTTGAATTAGCATTTTTGTAAAATGTGTTTATATTGTAAATGCAGTAAGCTGTCTAGCCTGACTTTACAATAAAATGAAAATTCATTACAATAGAGAGGTCCGTCTGTCTCATTATCTTATATCCAGCTTTGTCGTAAAAAAAAAAAAAAAAAATATCTGTGCTTGAGACAAAAAGTAATCGCTGACTCAGGAAACAGTCTGACTTTTTCTGTGACGACCATAGCATTAGACAGAAAGTGTCTCTCATCTCAACTGCTTCCAAAATTTACATCAGTAAAAATATTGATCAGAACTAACAGAATAAACTCGGATTGTTTCCTTTGAAATTCAAATTAGGGTGAGGATCTCCCTTTTCAGCATTTCAGTCCCAAGAGCAGAATGGGACTGTGTCAGGGAAGGTTAGAAAAATGTTTTTTCAAAAGTAAAACTGAATCTGAACATCAGAAAGTTCATGTTTTGTCCTGTTTTAGGTTTGAATTCAGAGCTAAGCTGATCGATAAGAGGTTGAGGTTATTAGTTATATTATATAACATCAGTTGGGGAAGGATGATATTTGCTCAGTTTATATATTTTATTGTTTACAATTCTTTCTTTTGCAAGGGATGTTGGGCTTCTTAGTCAAGTTTATTGGACAATTAATGTGGAAATGAGAATTAAGGACACTGAGTTACATTTGAAAAAGAAAGAAGCTGTATGTTGAAATTTACGGAAGCTTAGAGCGGTCGTACTCAACTTTTTTTTCTCGAGATAATGACATAATTATCTCGTTATCACGAGAAAACAAATTTGGATTTCTCGAAATAACGAGATGATTTATCTGTATGAGGAATGAATGAGGCCGGCCAACAGCCCTGGATTCCCAGTCCATCCATGCCTGCGATGCCCGTAGTTGTGCAGCCGCGGTACCGCATGTACACAAATAATACATTTTTTAGTTTACTTTTTCTTCTCACTCATTGTCAGATCATGGTGGATTATTTGTTTGCAGAGATGGCAAAAGTACTCACTTTCCGTACTTGAGTAAAAGTACAGATACTTGTGTTAAAAAATACTCTGGTAAAAGTGGAAGTAGTGATTAAACTTCTTTACTCAAGTAAAAGTAACAAAGTACAGGCTTGTAAATGTACTTAAAGTATAAAAGTAAAAGTAGAAACATCTTTTTTCATGCCGTTGCCTACATTTTAAATGGATGTCTGCCAATAGGACTAGATCTCCGTTGTGTTCATTTTCAATCATCTCGTCGTCCATACTACTATGCTAACGCCACCGCCACCAAGCTGCAATGATTTGCCGCGAATGAATACCGCCGAATCTGTCGATTCATCTTGCACTGGTGCGTCATATGCAACGTAGATTCCCATCCAATTAGATTGAATTTGGTATTGATGACGTGAAAAATAATAACGGTAACTCCATTGAAATGATTCAAAACTAAAGTAACGAGCCAATTTTTTAAAATGTAAGGAGTAGAAAGTACAGATATTTGTGTAAAAATGTAAGGAGTAGAAGTAAAAAGTCACCATAAAAATAAGTAGTAAAGTAAAGTAAAAATATCAGAAAAATCTACTTGAGTACAGTAACGAAGTATTTGTACTTCGTTACTTCCCATCTCTGTTTGTTTGCATGGGATACAGTAGAAACTAATCTGACAGTTTTTTCTTGAAAATCTTTAATCTGGACTCCTTTTGGGCGTTAATGCATCTTATACTTGTTACAGACGTAACACCGGGGCTGTTCTGCTGGCATGACTTATAAATCCTCTCCCCTGTTGTGGTATTTACGTTTTTATACTCACCAATCCTCTTCGTCAACTTTAGATAATGAGAAAATTAACTCGTTTTCTCAAAAGCACCACTGAGAAAAATTATCGGAGGGACACGATTGCTCTTGGCTTCTGTAGAAATGAACCCATCCTTTTGCCACTTTTAATAACCCAGTTTGTCTAGTGAGTCAAATTAAATGCCAAAAAATGGGGTAAGTCTTTGGAAATAGATCACTGTGTAAGAATTTAAATCAGAATTTTCTTTTACGACATGATGCCATGCATACACAATTCATTTATTCATCAAAATTGCATTACAAGGTCTGACTTGCAGGATATTTCTCTCAATGTTTGCATTTTTAAACATTCCACTCCTCAGCATTGCTCTCAGTTCATTCTGATTGACCCTAACCGTTTCTGAGCCAGCAGGGATATATATTCCCCCCACTAGATTGTTTGTTTGCCTCAAGGTTTTCTCCCAGTGGGACATGACCTGTAAAACATCCATGTGATAAACTCTTTTAATACGAGTCTTTCTTTAGCCTAGTTTGTTCTTTGAAAGTCCGTAGTCAAAAAAAGAGCCTTTATTAGGAACAATTTAACACATTTTTATAAACCTTAAGGCTATGATGTATTTCACTATATTAGGAAAGTTCTACTTTCTGCAAAACTCAGATATAGCAGCTGCCACCATGGAGTGTGCTGGTTTAATTGGAGTGCCAGTTCTCATCAGGATCGAAAGGGAATAAGACAGGGGGGATAGATCGCCTAAAAAAGTAAGAGAGGCTCTTATTTGTCAGTTTAACCTTTTCTCATTAATGTTAAAGGTATGTACCTGTCAGAATATGTTTGTGTCTGTCCTTTTTATTTTATTCAACAAATATAAAACAAGTCTGTAAACAAATCAGGGAGATAATTAGATGTAATCATGAAAATGTTGCCGATTTGAAAAAGTATTTCAAAGTTGACTAAAAATGCTAAAAAAAACATTCCTTATTGTGTTTTAGGGTACTAATATTAGCAATAGCCTAAGAACTGTTCAAAAATTAAAAGAAAAATAATCTAAAAGTGTTTCTCTCATACTAGTATTGTGACAAGAGTATTGTCCAACTTTCAAATTTATTCTCTTTCATCTTGGTCACAATAACATGTTTTAGATCATCAGGCTAATTTTAATATTAAAGATAGCATTAATAAATACAAAGAAAAGACTGTTTCTAAATGGGAAATTCATCTGTGAAAAGAAAAAAAACAAACTTCAAACCAACTTAACCTCAGGTAAAAACTCGTACCCTACCTTACAAGAATAAAATGTGGGTGACCATATTTTTTTGGCAAGCTAAGGATATTTTCATCAGACAAACCCAGACCTAATAATTACAGTACAGGAGCAATAGAATTAAAAAATCACTTTAACTTAAACTGTCTAGCAACGTTGCATAAACGTTTCAAAGGTAAGTGCTGTAACTAAATATTAACCTATACTCTTAAATTATTAAACCATAAAAATGCTGTATAAGAAAAAATCTACATAACCTAAATTAAATTAGGTTATGCAGCTGGGCAATTAAAAAACACATATAACCACAAGTTTCTTGTTTCATCAGCCTTTCTCCTTCAATGCCAGATTCAGTCGTAATTCAATAAAGTCTGTCAATCAGTCAATCAATCAATCAATCAATCAATCAATCAATCAATTACATACCATCATGAGATGTTTTTGGTAACCTGGCATAGGTATGCAAGAAGCCTCTTTTTATGGTGTTATCTCCATAACAATAGTTAATTGTCAGTTATTGCAAATTTGATTGCATCGTTGCTACCAAGAATGGCATAACGGTCACATTGCTTATTTTAATATCCATGCCAGGTCATTGGGATACCTTATTTACCCTTATAAAAAATGTATTATAATCTGAAAAACAGCTTTCACTTCCACTGTATCTGTCTAATATTATAATTTGTTAGATTATCTCAAACAGCAAAGTGTGTCAAGAACCAAAACAATACCTTTTCACAATATTTCACTATAGCTCCTCTAAAGCAGCTATAGACAGTCATGCTTAATGTCTTAAGTGTTGCGTTTTAGTTAAACAAGCCATTCAGTCTTATTGGATTTCCCACAGTTCAATCACTGCACATATTCAGATATGTTTGTGGAATAAAAAAAAAGGATAATAAACACTAAAGGTGCTTAAATAAAAAAAAACATTATTTAAGATTTAGCTGTAAACCTGTATTCAACCTTAGAACATCAGATGTTGCACTTAATGTGAAAATTTTTTTCGTACTCCTGTAAAGGCTGTGTTTTTAGGAAAAAAGACCGTCAAGACTTATTATGTCTTTTCTTAACCTTGAATTTTGACTGTAGGAAAAATCTACATCGGAAACAAAAAGGAGATTGCAGAAGGCCGAATCCCTGAACTCAACACATACATGAAGGTAATCACATTTAATTTCATGTAAAGTGCTTTTATTTAGTTCAAAGGAATGGGAATGTTGGCACACTCACAGTTTTCTGCAGCATGTGGTGCAGAAACCTACATCTTAGTGGGCAGAATGATGCTGTAGGTGGATAAGCACCGACTCAGATATTTCAGCAGTAGTTTGGAGAAGGAGCTCAAAGTGTAGGCGTTTCTGCTCTCTTCTCTTTGCTCTGCCCTGTGCCCACATCACGTCTGACTGACTTTGGTTGTGGGACTTTTGACATGTTTCGATGTTGCTCCATTGCTTGAAACATGATCAGGTTCTGTTTCTCCCACTCACTTACTTCTCTTTCCTCCTTTTTCTACTTAAACCAACGTTGCTCTCACTTCTCACACCCTATCTCCTCCATTTTTATTCACTTCCCCCCAGTATTTGATTTTCTCCAGCCTGTTTCTTATTGAAGTTTTCTGCCTTTCCAACTGTCAATAAACCTTCCTGACATTTCTAGACATTAATTGACTGCCACTATGATCTCCATCGAGTCATTATGCACCGAGTATAGTGAGGTTTCCTGACCAATGCTGGCAGAAATGTCCAAAGCTGATGTTCTTGTTACATTGGAAGAGCCATGACAGTAATGGCCTTTGCTTCTCTACCTTTTATTTATGTAAAAAGATGATTTTACTTCAAGAGTGAAGTAAATCTTTTAATTTAGCTTGGCCTGAGAGCTGAATTTTGTATGGTATTTGTGCATTCATGCAAGATCAAATGCCCTTATCGCACACTTTGCAGAGCAGCAGAAGGTGTGACTGAGGGCTTTAAGGTTAAGTAAAGGCATCTGACGACACTCAGTGTAGCTAAACTGAAAAATTGCTTTCTTCTTGCAGCTCTTTAATCATGCTTACAGACAGGACAAGCACGATAAACATGCCCAAGATCCATCTCTCCATGTCATCTCCTGCACCATCCTACCATCACTTGTGAACACGAAGCCAAAAGACTGAGGATAAACTGACTTCTGACCCAGAGAGAGTTTTTCAAAATAAAATCCAAAGCCTCAAACCTTAATTGCTTTACTTTTATGCTAGGACTGGGTAAAACTAATTGAACTTTATCGATCTCACATTGGAGAAATATACCTCTGCATTTAACCCATCACCTTGGGGAGCAGTGGGCTGCCATCGTGGGGCTCCTTGGGAGCAATCAGGGGTAAAGGGTGTTGCTCAGAGACCCAGAGTGGCAGTCTTTGGAAATGGGGCTCAAATTCAGAACCTGGCAGTAGCCAGATCGATATGTTTTGAACTGAATTGAGTTCTACTTTATCAATCTGGGATGGCTGTCGTTCAGTCTTTTCCTGAGAGGGGCGTTTAGTACAGTACTTTCAGCTGACTGGATGAAGTGCCAGCTAGTGCCTGCCTTCCATAATACGCTGTCAGCCATTCGTAGCAGCAAATGGTGATGTTTCATTGGAGTAAGCTGATAAATCAAACCTTTTCCAAATCCTGTTGAAAGAAAAGCTCTCCCATCTACAAATGCACAAAGTGTTTCTCTTTTCTCCTTTATTAAACGAGAAATTGTCGCATTTCTACCTAAAAACCAATCAATTTCGGTATTGACAAGGGAGTCCTCCTGCGTAGCCATGTTTGTAATGCAAGGCCCTTTTGACTGTCATCATTCCCACATGTCCTGCCCCAAAAAGCATTGCTGGCATCTCACTGGTCCGCCTCGCTGGTTGTTACGAGATGCATTAGCAGGAGTCTTTCAAGATGTATTTGTTGTGAGACTGAAAACTCAGATTTCGCAACAATCTAGGGAAAAATGGCATAAAATAATCTTCAACCACTTCAGCCACTATGTTTTCTACAAGAATATTACATGGGTGCAAACTGCGGATAAAAATGTGAACATCACCTCAATTCTGAGATCACAAACAAAAAAAGCTGAAATGAAAACAGTAACTGATATTAAGATGATTAAATAATCATTTCACATAGTGACTATTAAGATTATTTGGAATACTTTTTATTTAGTTAAAATTCTCTTCCACTTATTGTTCATTCATAGAGGTGCTGTCTGCGTAGATCCTTCCATTGTAAATACTAGTTAACGGCTACTATTGTTGATTACTTTGTCCATATTGTCTCCTATGTTTTTTCTTTTTTAAATCTTTATTATTCAATCCTTCCAGTACCCCAACCTCACTCCCTCTTCTTCTCCTCAGAGGTTACTTGGTCTTCCAACATGGCTTTTACTAGACGAGAGTCTCAGGATGTTCTTCTACCAGATAGAGCAGGACAGCAACCATGAGCCAAGGGCGCTGAGACGTCTTCGTCCTCCGACGCGCAAAGTGTAAGTCCCACAGCTAATAAACTGCAAGCACTTATAGAGCACACATACAGTATCTGAGGAAAAGGGGATGGGACCATATCCTGATGGTCAAGCAAGTTTATAAAGCTCAGTGCACCACTAGTGTGTAGATAATAGTTTTAGTCTACATTGGAGGCTAAAACATGTTCATCTACTGTGTTAATCTTTTCTGATGTTAGAGAGAAAAGCCATTTGTTCTGACCAGATAAAATAAGCCATTTATATGGAGTGGGACTAAAACAGCGCTCGTCATCACTTGAACTGATTATGTTGGTTATTGAGTCCCTTATCCTCTAAATGTGAAATATTTAGTCAAACGAAACAGCTGAAAAAGCTTTTTACAAGTCTAATTTTAATACATCCAATAGCATAGAGCTCAACACATTAGGTTTAAATAGACATGCATGTTTAACAGTTACATTTCTTTCTGAATTGTTTTGTTGGTGCTTGGATATTATTTGTGTCTCATACAATATTTTACTGTTAGCATTTTTTATAAAATTTTGATAACAAGTTTTTTTTTTGTCACAGCTTGCTCCTAATAGTTAAATATTTGTTTATATTCACAAGATTGATTAATCCTAGGATTTAGAAGGGATTTAGATACTTTAGATACTGATTTATAAATCATAGTGAAGTGGATGTCTCTCTTAAAACTGGTCAGGAATCACAGTTATTATTGCTTACTATCATAAAAAGCATTATTCAAAACAATGGATTTAATGGATCATGGATCATGTTTCATGACAGCACTTAAAGGTATTAAAGGGGATTTTTTTTCAGAAATGAACTGTCCAGAAACATTTAAAATGAATTAATTGACGGGTGCCAGTCTTGCACTTATGGTTCCCGCCAAAAGATTATATTCATAAACTCTGGCTGTGGTGGTGCCTTGGTAACACTAGCCAATCTGCTTTGCCCATTGTCGAAAGTCGATTGGCTACTTGTTTGTCAATTAAACGTTATGCATATGTTTTGCCATGACAGTTGGATTTAGGCACCAAACGTAACTCATACACTGCTAGTAGTCCGCCATTACGCCGAAGCACGCCATTACACCTGTACTCCTATGCTTGTTTACTGCTGTGGCTTTTTTTTTTTTTTTTTTAGCTATTTGTTCACTCTTTTGTGCAAACTGCAGCATCAATGGCCTAAAACAATTCTGACAAACAAATATTTTTGAAACCTATGGGGTAATTAGCAAGATGGTTAGCATTAGCTATAAGGCTAGAATTTTTCTGAAATACAAAATTAGTGGCAGAGCAGCAGTACAGAAGTTTTGCGAAGGAGGGAGCACTGATGATATCATACAATCCAAAAATACACAAACATTTGCTGGACATATTTTCCACCACAGAATCCTCTTTCATACCTTTAGGTTGTGCTTTGATCTGTAACAGATAAGGTAGAACAAGGTTTGCCTTTTACAGATTTTCAAAGAATCTTAACAACATGTTGTTGTCTAATTAGAGAACAAATGAATTACTCGAACTATGACAGAGTTCCTGTGATGAGCTTCTCAGGAATATGTAAAAAAAAAACAAAAAGTATCAAGAGTTAAAAGGGTGGAAATAGTAGATGCAGGAAACGGAACCAACATGGACAGTCAGTGGGGAAATGTCAGTTTGCAACACGATTTCATGACAAATTGTGTAAATGCAGCTGGATGTCAGCTTTTAGCCAGACATCCGATGCCTGAGTCACAGCTACGCTGGAACGATTATGACTGCATTTAGTTCAATGTAGTTGAAACTGCATCCCTAAAATAGTCTTATCAGTCATATGTCTTTTACTGGAACTGTGTGAACTTTTTTAATTTGTATTAGATTTTTTTGTGTTTGGAAGGTTTCTTAAAGTCCACTCTTTTTTCAGTTATATACTTTAAGTTTTGTTGCCTTTGTAGATTTTGACAAATTATATACTCTGTAGGTTTAGTCTTACTTTTCTTTGGTGATGCTTTTGTTAAACTTCTTCCATATATTCTTCGATCTGTAATCCTTTGTCTGCTATATTTAATTTAGTTCTTGTTCCAGATGAATTGTCTGTTTTTTTATTAATGTTCTTTAATTAGGCCACCTATACTCCAGATTTAGACCACTCTATGATATCAATAGCCTCTAACAATGTTGCAAGGCAAGTTTCTTTTTATATATAGCACTTTTCAGTGGTAAGACAATTCAAAGGAAGAATATGTTGCAGTGACATAAAGGCAATACAAATAATTAAAGAGAATAAAGATAATTAATTAAAATAAGATTAATATATTAAAAGAAAAGTTAAAGTGAACAAAATCGGTTTTTCAAGGTCCTGCTTAGACATCAGTCCTTTGATTCTGGAGATGTTCTTTAGGTCATAGAAGGCTGACTTTGTTTCTGTCTTTATGTTTGCCTGATTGGTGGTTTCTAGTTGTTTTAACTGAAGCTGTGTGCTAACTTTTAATTGCTCTTCATGTTTTGCAGTAGAGCTATAGCTCAGACCGAATGGATAAAAAACATTTTCATTCAATTAATTTCTTTTGGATTTAGGTCTGACTGTATAATGATGGTTTAGACCAAATAACATTTATGTTCAGAAAAGGTCTATTCAAAGTCCAGATCTAAACCATCATCACACAGCCAGAGCTAAAAAGAGTGGTTTAGATCAAAGAACATTTATCTAAACCACTCTATTTTAGCTCTGGCTCTATAATGGTTATTGTCCTTCTGAAAGGTGTCTACCCAAGTCTTAGGTCTTTAACGGGATTTTATCCAAGAGGATGTTCAGTCTAGGGGAAAATGACTGAAGACCCCTGTCCTACAGTAGACTTTTTCCCTATTGAGTCTCTTACCATTTTTAGTATTTTTATCCACTCTGACCAACTTTCATATCAAACATTATGCTGCCCCTGCCATGTTTTATCATGCATTTGTTTTGGTCCCACCATCTTCCTCATGTTTAGATACATAGTTATTAACAGGACTGCTTATGGCCTACTTCTTTCCGCTTTCTTATAAACAGCAGATTTAATAGGTTAAACTAGTTAGTTAAACAGTTCTTCACCTGGTTTGTAGATCTCTGCGGGTCCTTGGCTGCATCTCTGACTAACGACTCTTGTCTAGCTTCTCAGTTGAAGTTATTGTCTGGGTAGGTTTTTATCTGACCATACTCTTTCTATTTCAGAAGACTAAAGAGTCTTTAAACTCCCTCTGTGAGCTGTGGGCTACATTCCCGGATTTTTATGGCATTGCTTTTTCTATTTTGGTCTCAAATAAACCTTTGAGTTCCTCAAAGAACAGCTTAATTTATATTGAGATTAAATTACACTCTGGTGGAGCCTGTATTGACGATTGTAGCTTAAAGAAATTGAAATGCAGTTGGAATGAATTGGTTTGCATGTCCTATGTATTTGACTACATCACACTCATCTAAGAAGCAAAGGAAACAACGCAACTAAAGCTACACAAAAACAATGCTGAAAACACAGCTTCCTCATTCTAAACAGGTTTTCATTGGCTTATATTTTTGTGGTCCAGCTATTTGTAGAATATATGGGGAAGGTGACGCTCACTCAACAGGAAATTTTGCATAAGTTAGATTTTTTGCACTCTTTCGTTCCTACTTTGTATTTAAACCAGTTCAAAATATCATAACCCCTGTTAATTGGAAATTTAAAGAAACTGACATTTCCGCTTTTGAATCTCTTTGTGAGAGTCTCTTACTGAATCTGAATCCATTTCTTATGTTTGATGTTCTCATCAACTCTTCAGAACAGAACTTCTTGAGGTAAATGGGACATTTACTTTAAACTGTCAACAAAACATAGCATGCATGTTTAGACAACTACAGTAAAGGCATTTTTCGATTGAAATGGTAATATTTTACTTGGACACTTATCTTTTGATAAAACTTAAGTGACTCTAACTAAATACATTTTGTTTTTGCATAAGAACAATTTTCGATGATTTAGATGTCTGGTATAGTACGTGCAAACCAGTAGTTTATCATAGTGATCCATTAATTGGAGGTAAGACATTTAGATGGAAGTAAGAGCACTGCTTAAAATGGCTTTAGACCAAAATCATGGAGTTTTGCCAAATTCCAAACCAGTGGCTGGTTGGAACCCATGAAGTCTTAACAAAAAACCATGTGGTATAAAATTATTTGGCACAGGTTTATTAATGGCATCGTTAAACTTTGAAATTTAGATTTGTTTCATATTAATGATGAAATCGTATAAACCAATAAATTAAATGCATGCTTAGTTAAGTGTTTAAACTAGAAACTTATCTACATTTTCTGTCAATAATTTATACAGAATGGTTACTGTTTTTCACAGACAAGAGTCTCAATTAATTACTTTTGATACATTTGGAAAACCTGGTGTCAAAACAACAAGATGAGCCTTGTGATGGCTCGTCTTTGGTTGTCTATATGTTAGGAAGAAAGAAACACATCTCTTGACTGCAAAACACATATTTCAGGACATATGTCAGAGCTGTGGATAACAGACCAATGGCATAAATGTCTAATCCATTCCACTATCCTGACCAAAAAAACACAGATTATGTCTTCCTCTTGCTATAATTGGTGAATTATTTTTGGAAAGTGGCTTGATCACCTGCAGGCAGCATTCACTTCCATGACTTTTTATCTGCTTCTGTTTGCTTTTTAGGAAAACAGTCAAATCACCAAAGATGGACCTCTTCTCCTCCCCCAGGGCAGAGGTACGTGTAGTTGCATATTTTGTTGTTGCTTTGGTTACGATCACCTCCCACAGAGTTACAACCTCATGGTGAAACAACCACGCAAAATGCACTTAATCAACCTGAAACATACTGTATTATCCTGTTAGCAGCACCCCTGGCTACAATGCAACTTGTGGTTTTCTCTCACATGCAGAATTTGATAGTCCTAGCAACATTAAAACATCACACTAAATAATTCATACACTGTGCCTATGTGGTACCGCATGCACATTTTAAACAACATTTTCCCTCTTAATTTAACACATTTTTTATTTTAAAGGTTGACTTCTTCAGCAGTTCTCAATATTTTCTGCATGGGTCTGCAGGATATTTTCCCTTGGACACTGGCAGGAGTTTTAATTGTTTTTTTTTCCATCTTTGGTTCAAGTATTTTAAAAGGGGTGTTCATATTAATTTACTTCTTTAAAACATTAAGTCAAAGCATGACGCTTAGGTAGATAGGAAATAAAGAATCAAAATTTTCTTAATAACATTGTTAATGGCTTTACTTTTACTTTTTAAATGCCCTTGAATGTTTATAGGGACAATGTTGGAATTTTTTAGATGTAGTTTTGCCATCAATATTCTACTTGCAGTGTATAACTCTCTCAGGGGAATTTAGCATAAATTCAGATCAGCTGGACTTTGTGTAATTTGTTTGAGGATTCATCCACTCCAGTGAAATTGTTTTTAAAATTCAAAGAGAGAAAAAATGAACTGAAAAGGAACTATTTGTGGTTGTTGTTCATTGGTATTTTTTATTTTTTTTAATTACTATAAAATAAATGTGGTGTGTCCCAAAATGTTTGCACAGAGCTATGAAAAAAAATATATTGCCTCAAAATAGTATCCAAAAAAGGAGACATGAAAATAACTTGTCCTGGGAAGAGTTATAAGTCCTTTGATAAATGGATATTATGATTGTGAAATGCAATTTTCATAATCTATTCCACTGGGACCTTGTTGACCTCTTCAAATGATGTTTTGCTTCATTTATTTCCTGTGTTTTCTTTCTCCTTTTAATATTATATATTGCTTTATCTCTATCACCTCCCCCCAAATAAGATCCCTGTTAATTTTTTTCCTTCTATTTTCACCACTCATATAGAAGTTTTTTCTTCTTAGTGTCAAAAAACGCACTGCATGAAAAGTGAGATTTTCGTCCCCGTAAACCCCCGTAAACTCCCGCAGATCTGCCTGATTTTCGTCAGTTTCCGACAATTTGCAACCCGTGCTTGTCCGCGTTTGTCGTGCCACAAATTGTCGGAAACGGACTCTGACGTATGTGGAGAGCGATCAGCTGTACTAATGGCCCTAATTAGCATATGAATGCAGCAAACCCGCGCGGCTGGCCAGGTCTGGCTTGAATAACCTTCTCAGTATTGGCTGAAACCACTATTCTCAAACAAGTGAAATCGCTCGTGATTGGCAGCAAAACCACACGTGGCCACGCCAGGCTTTAATTTTCTTACTGAGTATTGGACGGAACCGCTTCCTTTTAAACAAGTAAAGTCGCTCGTGATTGGTTGGCATATATATATATATATATTTACATATATATTTATTCATATATATATTTATTCATTCATATATATATATATATATATTCATATATTTATTCATTCATATATTTATTCATTCATATGCTGTGTATTTATGTTATCCTACACTACTACACAATTATTATGCTACCATCAAGGACATGAATGAATTTATACAGGAAATGAAGATTTGCCAGGAAGCTGTTTATGCAAAGAAAGAGCTTTATTAAAACACACCCAACTATATACAACGCATATCCAAACACATGCGTATCTAAAAATTACAACTCCGTGAACCTTCCGTTTGCTTCCTCGGGGTTGGAGGTAACAGGCAGCATTCCCTCCGAGGCAGGTCCGATGTGCAGACGCCTACTGTGCGTGGCCCTGTACTTCGGCATCGCTTCTAACCGGGACTGCAGCTTAACACAGAGTTCAGTGAGATCCGGCCTACGAAATGGCGGCGACCGTACAATCCATCCAGAGACACCGCCGACGACGCCATCTTCTTCGTCGGACATGAGGTCGACGGTGGCGGACTTACAGAGTTCCACTTCCTCATCTGATAGCACACTCTGCCTCGCCTTCAGCAGCTGAAAAAAAAACAATGAATCAGCGCACTGCATATGGACACAACACATCTATCAATGCACCTGAAAAATAGTCACCAAATAAAGTCTTACTCTCTTTCTTCTGGCCTGACTCCGAGCAGATAGCCTGGCGGCCTCCGCAAGCAGCGTGCTGGCTAGCAGCGTGTATCTGAAGCTCCTGCATACCGTCTCATAATACGTCTTACAGGCAGCTGGAAAACAATTAAATGAGAGTGGTATGAATAAAAAAAAAAAATCAAACGCAAGTCACAGTAACAAGGAAGGAGAAAACATTAAAACAAGTCACTTACACACAATGTCGTCTTTATCAACATCGTGCAAATCCGAGCAAATAGGAGGTCACCGCCTCATTGTGAGGCGACTGTAGTCTGTGAAAAACAAAAAAAAAGTACAGCTATGGTCGGTATCCATCCGTATCCATGTCCTTTTACCGCATATTCTTTAAACCTTACCCCTGCTCCGGTTCATAGCGCCTGCAATTAGTTTCCGAGTTGTTAAGACGGCATATTGCTTCCTGTGAATCACAAAAAATACACTTTAATAAAGCTTTAGGCTAGGCTGCTTACCTAGCTAGGCTAGGTTGTCTTTAGCTTGCCTAGCTAAGCTAGGCTGCTTTTAGCATAGCTACCAGTAATCGAACATATATTTACCGCTAGCGTGGCGTTGTTCACCCGTCTTGTCTTCCTCGAGTTCGTATATCCTGCAAAGTTGCTCGACTGCAGAGCCGCCATCTTGTCCTCTATGGACTACAACCCGGAGCGCATCGAATTCTCCAGCTGAGTGAGGCGTTCATTCATGTCGGCAGTATGTTGGGCAAGCTGACGAGACAGTCCGCTGATAGCAATCAGCAGTTTCTTCTCGTCAGTCTGCGGGCTGGCCGAAAGTTGTGGACTAAGAGCAGTTGGAGGCGAGTTGAACGCGAGACGTCGTGCAGACGTTGTTCACGTAACAACAAAATACAAACACGGTAAATGGAGATGAAGTTCTTCTAAGTGTAGTAACACAAACATGTCTGCTAATATGCTGGTCTCGCGAGAAGTCGTAGTGCACAAAAGCTCACACGTGATTGGACGATGGGGCCGAAGGCTCATCAGGCTCCTCCAATCACATACGACGTCATTGTTATACGGAAGGACTCGCGAGAAGAGCTCGCGTCGCTCCATTCTGGAAGGTGGCGGTAATGCATCTATAAATTGTTTGCAATTGCAATTGTTTGTCTCCATAAGATTGAATTTGAGCAGGTGGACATTAGAGATAATAAATGCAACAACAAGTTTTTGAATCAATATTCTATAAATAATATGTACCCAGGAAGAACAAAAAGCACAGCTCTCTAACAAAATTTTAAGAAATCTATGATAGTCAAAATTAGGACAAATTATTTGAAATTCCCAATTCCTCCTAAATATAAAGAATTACAATTTAAAATAATAAATAACATACACTATATTGCCAAAAGTATTTGCTCACCTGCCTTGACTCACATATGAGCTTAAGTGACATCCCGTTCCTAATCCATAGGGTTCAATATGACGTCGGTCCACCCTTTGCAGCTAGAACAGCTTCAACTCTTCTGGGAAGGCTGTCCACAAGGTTTAGGAGTGTGTTTATGGGAATTTTTGACCATTCTTCCAGAAGCGCATTTGTGAGGTCGCACACTGATGTTGGACGAGAAGGCCTGGCTCTCAGTCTCCGCTCTAATTCATCCCAAAGGTGTTCTATCGGGTTGAGGTCAGGACTCTGTGCAGGCCAGTCAAGTTCATCCACACCAGACTCTGTCATCCATGTCTTTATGGACCTTGCTTTGTGCACTGGTGCACAGTCATGTTGGAAGAGGAAGGGGCCAGCTCCAAACTGTTCCCACAAAGTTGGGAGCATGGAATTGTCCAAAATGTCTTGGTATGCTGAAGCATTCAGAGTTCCTTTCACTGGAACTAAGGGGCCAAGCCCAGCTCCTGAAAAACAACCCCACACCATAATCCCCCCTCCACCAAACTTTACACTTGGCACAATGCAGTCAGACAAGTACCGTTCTCCTGGCAACCGCCAAACCCAGACCCGTCCATCAGATTGCCAGATGGAGAAGCGCGATTCGTCACTCCAGAGAACGCGTCTCCACTGCTCTAGAGTCCAGTGGCGGCGTGCTTTACACCACCGCATCCGACGCTTTGCATTGCACTTGGTGATGTATGGCTTGGATGCAGCTGCTCGACCATGGAAACCCATTCCATGAAGCTCTCTGCGCACTGTTCTTGAGCTAATCTGAAGGCCACATGAAGTTTGGAGGTCTGTAGTGATTGACTCTGCAGAAAGTTGGCGACCTCTTCGCACTATGCGCGTCAGCATCCGCTGACCCCGCTCCGTCAGTTTACGTGGCCTACCACTTCGTGGCTGAGTTGCTGTCGTTCCCAAACACTTCCATTTTCTTATAATACAGCTGACAGTTGACTGTGGAATATTTAGGAGCGAGGAAATTTCACGACTGGATTTGTTGCACAGATGGCATCCTATCACAGTTCCACGCTGGAATTCACTGAGCTCCTGAGAGCGACCCATTCTTTCACAAATGTTTGTAAAAACAGTCTGCATGCCTAGGTGCTTGAATTTATACACCTGTGGCCATGGAAGTGATTGGAACACCTGATTCCAATAATTTGGATGGGTGAGCAAATACTTTTGGCAATATAGTGTATATCCTTCAAATGAGTTTTTAAGAGAGAGATTTAAGTTTAATGTTGAGAATTGTGGCTTTTGTACAACTCAATTGGAAACAACTAAACATCTTTTTTATGAATGTAAAGAAGTATTAAACTTATGGGATCAACTTCGA